TAAGGAGGATAAAATAGAGACTAGAAATAGCCTCAGGTCAGTTTTGCTGCCAACTGAATTAGTTTCAAACTTAAGAAAAAAACTCTCATTAATTTTCAGAGCTTTCTGAATTTTGGAATGGTGAATGAGAGATTATGCCCACGTACGTGACCCAAAGCAAAGACAGTCTCCTGACCACTGCACATAAAGACCCTTTCAAAGCATGGATGTGTGCTTGTCTTCCTGAATGGTTTGGTCCAGTTCTGTTTTGGAAGCCCTGCATAGCACAGGGCACCCTGCTTTAGTTATTCAGACTCTTATTTAGAAAATAAAATGAAACCTGCAAACTTACAGCATTTCCCTTTGAAAGCTGAGCATGGTACGTCGACAGCAGTGATAGTCTTCTGGCTAAACATCATTATCTCTAACCGTTGAAGGGAATTTTCACAAACCTCTGCATACACACAAAAATTGTACGTGATACTTTGAAAAGCAAAAAATGCAGGGCCCTAGTCTGTGTTGTGCTTCTCAAACTTGATGGTCCACTAAGAGAGTCACCTGGGAATTCTGTTACAATGCTGATTCTGTCTCAGGAGGTCTGAGTGGGGCAGAAATCCTACATTTCAAACCAGCTCCTGGCTGCTCTCTGGGGACCACCCTTTGAGTGGCGAGGCTGCAGTAGGAAAGTGCATGAAGTCTGGAAACAGGTGAACTTGAGCTAGATCCTGACTCCGCCATCTGCAAGTTGAACGACCCTGGGACAAGTACGTAACTGCTCAAGCCAGTTTCCACCAGGAGGTAAAATGGAAGTAACCGTGACACCTGCTCTCCATGACTGTGAGTAGGTAATCTTAGCGACACAGGTCCTGGTAGACAACAGACCCTGAGCTCCATCCTATGCCGCCCGTGGCAGGCTGAGTAAAGGGCCCCCAAAGGTGTCCACATCCCAGTCTCCGGACTCTGTAAACACGTCACCTTAGATGGCAAAAAGGTGATTTGTAGATGTGACAAAGTTAAGGATCTTGAGATGGAGAGACTGCCCCGGGTCATGTGACTGGGCCAATGTCACCACAATGGTGTTTATGAGACAAGCAGGACGGTAGGAGCAATAGAACATGAGAGGGTGAATCAAGGATCAGGGAGGAGAGAAGATGCTACGTTTCTGGCTTTGAAGACGGAGGAAGGGGCCACCTTCCATGAAATGCGGGAAGTCTCTAGAAGCCGAAACCTCTAGAAGGAAGGCGACTCCAAGACCCATTTTAGACTTCTGACCTCCAGAATTATAAGACGATACATTTCTGTCATCTGAAGCCACTAAGATAGTAGTAATTTGTTACAGCAGCAGAAGGAACCTAATACCCCACCTATCCGAATAGCACTAATGTAGGCCTGCCTCACTTTCCATAATAGAGGATTTCCTGAGACTGAATCATCAACTGAAAGGAAATCGCATAACAGTTGCCCAAGTGGAGTTCAACATAGAACTCCAAAGGGACTATACCAAGGAGACTATACCAAGGGAAGAATTCCTCCCGCATTATCTATTTTGTTTGGTTACGGCAATTTTTTAAAAACAGGGCTGGTAGGCAGCCAGTTGGCTCAGGTGATTACAGCACAGGCTCATAACACCAAGGTTGCCGGTTCAATTCCCACATGGGCTAGTGGGCTGTGCCTGCCACAAAATAGATTGAAAACAACGACTTGACTTGGAGCTGATGGGTCCTAGAAAACCACACTGTTCCCCAAAAAAGTTAAAAAAAACAGGGCTGGACACACGTGTTCATCACAAACTGTGCTAAAGGCTGAAAGGCATCTCTTGCACACTGATTGAATCATCATGTTCTGATCAGTCGGCTTCTCACGTAATTGCTGAACTCTAACAAGGCTCCTGGGGATGGAACCAGTAGCTTGATGCCTCAGCCTCAGGAGAACCAAAGAAAGTAACCCTGGACTTAAGAGTAAAGGGTTGAAAATTAATGGTCTCAAGTGCTGTACAAATCTTCATTTGCTATTTATAATGTGGCTTATTCCATACAGAACCTTTATAAAATAAGAAGATACCAAGATAACGAAAGCAATGTCTGCAGAAGGAAACGTGTGTCAGAACTAAATGGATTTTGTCCTGCGTTCCTCGGCTCCTACGGCTCCTCGTACCATCCCTGGCTTTGCAGGTTCCTTAGTATATATACCTAGACTCCATGGAAGGACCTGGTCGCTCATTTCCAACTATTACACCCAAAGCATCTGGCACTGTAACTGGCGCTCAGTTTGCACACAGTAAATATTATGACGGATATTTATAATGGAAAAGTGTATTATGACTTTCATTAGAATTACCCATAAAGCTCTTTTTCTCCAGTTTGAGCTTCAAACTAGTAGGCCCAAGATATTATTTATGATAGAATTAAAAGTATGCTTTCTGATTTTATTTGCCTATTAATATATGCATTGGACAATTAACAATGCACTAAGCAGTCACAGCAATTAATTACTTTTCTAGTGTTGGCCCCTGCATATGAGCTAAATGAGGGGAAAGCCACTAATTGCATATTAAAAAATGGTAACTAGTTTTAAAACATCCTGTTTAATCTCAGACCACAGCATTCAACACAGTTACAGCACTTTCGCTGGCTCAGTTACAAACTCACAAAACAATCCAAGTCTTCAGAACAGACATAAATTCTGCTTGGGTCGCACTAAATATAAAATACATATTCAAAAGTTTGCCAGTTCACATTTACGAGGTCTTCTGACCAATTGTTAGGGTCAATCATAAAAACTATCTTTTCATTTTCTTATGCTCAGTATATTTTATTTAAGAAGCAATGTAATCCCATGGAAAGCTTTTGCTTCAAATCTTAGTGTGAAATAGGACTGAATATATTAACATAACTCAGAACAAGTCAGTAAACATCTACAAGAACATGTAATATAATTCTAGTGAGTCCCGTAATGCTCTATTTTCAAAGGAGAGAAACCACTGGACAGAAAAATGTTCAATTCGAAATCTGAGTTTCAAGTGTCTGATAAAAACAGAAGTTTGCTCACCGTGTGGTCCAGAGTTAGAGCCATGATGCTACAGTGCTTAGGGGCCCAAATGATTCAACGGCAACCAGCTAACGGGAGAGCAGGCCATTTGGAAGTAGCGTTCATTTGTCTGGTCAACGGACACCTTATCTTGGTTTACCGTGCAAACCAAGACTTCGAGTCCCGCAAAGATTTCATTTCTAGCTCCTTGAGAAGCGGGGGCACTCTGTGGTCATGTTAGTACTGTCCAATCTCAGCACCTGGGAACCCCTGGCCAAGAGTCACCAAGGATGGCCAAGTTCACAGGCAGCTAAGAATTTCCCCCTCTACAAAATGAAGCTCAGCAACTCCCTGTGAACGTGTTTCTGGACTGAGCTGCTGAGATGCTCAGCACCTGCATGGAGGTACGGCATGGAGCTTTAGCGGCGTCTTCCACTGCTCTGCAGAGCCCCAGACTGTTGAGGTTTTAAATTCTTGCTGCATCAATGGGTTCTCAGGTCAGAAACCGAGACCCTAAGAAGGTGAGGGGTCTGTCCAAGTTTACGCAATGTGTCGGGCCAGATGGGGAGTTCGCATCCCAGCTACCTGAGCCCTAAGTGTGTCTTCCTGGCCCTGCCACCTTTGTGGAGGCCCAATAGCAGGAAAGGCTGCTCCTCCAAGGATGATGTCATTGGGTTCCTCGCGGTGGGAGTGGTGATGTGGGCCTGCACACATTCGTGACTGTGTAGAATACTAGTAAACAGAACAAGGGAAGGTCTGAGCATGCTCTCTGCTGATTACACTGCCTGAACTTTGGGAGGGCAATTCTGGGCAGCCCTTTTTCCAGTCTCACATCTTCATTCTGGGATTGTTCTGGACAGATAGGCTGCCAGACAAGTGAGCCGTGATGGGGAGTAATGAGTTAATGCATCTCGGCTTCCTGCAAAGAGCCTCAGCTTCTGGACATCATCACAGGACTCAAGAGTCTCAGTTTATAAGGTCCCATAAGATGAAAACAAACATCCACGGCCACTGCAGTGTTTCCTGCACTGGTCTTCAGGCCATGGCTATTCCACTAAGCAGAGACCAGGACCCGGAGAAGAGTGGCCATGGGTGCCTGCTCTGCCTCACTGATGGGCAGGGTCAGTTTCTACCTGCGCATACTTGCTCCCTGGGCTTTATCCTTGCCTGGAAGAGAAGGCTCTCAGGGTTGGGGAGGAGAAAAAAAGAGGAAGCGAGCTCTAGAAGGCATCCCAACATCTCACTCTTTTTTAGGGGTACCATCCTGTTGTTCAGACCACATGGCTGCAGTGGCGCTGACCCCACCTCCTGGCTCTGTGGGTATTTTTCTGAGACTTCGATTGTACCACCAAGAATGAGGCACTGCTTTCTGGTTTCTGTAAGAAGGATGTAAACCCCACTGCCCAGGGAGAGCCTGCATGAGAACGAACCCAGAGGAAGTGAACCCAGAGGAAGGCGGGGCTGAGCAATGGAGAGGCCAAGTCCTGAAACAACCTTGAACCCCCTGCGTCCAGCCAAACCCGAAACCCAGGTCTGCCCCTGGTCTTTATGGTCCCATAAGGGAACGCATACCTTTAAAAAAAAACCAACTAATCCAGTTTAAGTTAGGTTTCCGTCACAGGAGAAATAAAAGTGCAAGAGGAGGGAGACGAGAAGAGAAGATTACGTTTTATGGATATCTTATCTGGAAGCAGCTCAAGTTTGTCCCCTGGAAATAAAGAAAGGTGACACGTGGGACTCTGTTCCATTTCTCACATTAAGCTCAGATCATCAGAACTGTAGCTCTGCCTAATTACTGTGATTAATCTCGCCAAACTCTAAATATAAAATGAATGTGCATTTTCTGATGTTCGATGATACTGCAACAGTCATGAAGAAGAGAAATGAGCCATCATTGAATAAAGATATCTGTGAAGGGAAATCATTATTTTCTGCCCAAACGTGGTCATGACTGGGTGAAGGAGAAAAGGTCACAGCAACAAGCCGAGTCTTACCTGGCATGGCATGGATGAGGTCGCCACACAGGACGAAGAACCTGGGTTTGGGCTTCAGCTTGTTGATGGCCTGAATGGCCTGCTCCATGAGACGGATCTCCTGCTCCCACTCGTCTCCACCGCTGTCACTGTCCCCAGTGGACCAGGCCTTCATCAGTCCAAACTGTGGGTCTGCTCCCTGGATGAAGTAGAATGGGCCTTTCCATTCTCTTTCCTCTTCTAAAAAAAAAGGGAAGGAAGGAAGGAGGGAAGGAGGGAGGGAAGGAGGGAGGAAGAAACATTATTCAAACTATCAGGGAAAGCATCCAGGTTACTGTGTGAGTGGATACAATATTTTTCTTAAATTAAGTAGGTCATTTTAATAAGCTGCTGTTCAAACATACCATTTTCCTGTCATAGTTGAGAGGATTTTGATTTATACTAATTATGCCTGGGACCTGGCGATTCCCAAAGGCCAGGAAAAACCACGTGGGCTGCAACAGCCACACAACCAAGCTGCTTGTTTAAAAGTTAGCTGGCCAAAATGGAGCTCCGAGGTGCAACAGCACGCTGGATGGAGGATATTAGTGTTCAATAATCGTTTTTTAATTAGAATTAAAAATACCCCTAACTGAAAGCTGCCTGAAGTATTATATTTAAATTACTAGATGAAATGCGTTCAAATCTTTTATGCCAGGCTTAATGGCACAATTTGCTCTGTTTTGGGGGATGTGACAGAATTGTAATTATAAAACTTGGAGCTCGGAAGCTCTGGCTATCTGCTGGCAAATGCGATGCCAGAAATGAAATCTTGAAATGAGTTAGTCAATGTGAAAAAAATAAGGAAAAAAAAAATTCATGCTAACACTTCAAAAGGCAGCATGATGTGGGCATAACTGAGATGTGAGGCTGGAGGGGTGGGGAGGGGGGGAAAGGGAGGGGGATTCTTGGAAAGGGAGCTGGGTCACGTGCACTGAAATGATCAGACTTGCCCTTCCTATTGGTTCTGCTGGCCCCGAGCTTCTCTGGCCTGAGGTCTCTATCTTTATCTGCCAAAAGAACCACAGCCAGTGCCTGCTTCTGCGGACTTGGAATGCCCACTCATAGGCATGGGTTACAAATGGTTTGGGGTTTTAGGGGGCGGGGGCACAGAATCCTTCCTTCAACCAAAACCTCACGTGGCAGACCAATGTTAAAACACGGAGCTGCCAGGCCGGCCGAGTGGCATGTTGTTTAAGAGCTGGCTTGGGATGCCAGCTCTGAGCATCAGGGCCCTGGTTCGGATCCCACATGAGGGCCAGTGACGCTGCGCCCTCTACAGCTAAGATGGTGAACAACAGCTCAACCTGGAGCTGGGCTGCCATGAGTC